AAAATTTCAGTACATTTGTAGGACTGAGGTTCAATATACTCAAACGAACAACTTTGTTTAAGAAAAAGTGTGGCGTTGTACGTAGTTTCTGGATCATAGTATTGGGAGATTTCAATTGTTTCTTGCGGCTTTTTTACGGCTTTTTTACGTAGAGGAAGGGATCTGGAGTATAACAGGGTAATTTAGTATCATCATCAACTGAGTTGGCCGCCGTAAAGAGTTTAAAACGCAGCACCACAGTTTCCTTAGAAATTTACCCCCTTTATTCATGGTTGGAGTAGTTTGGCTTGGACTGCAGATAAAACTTGAGAAATGAGGACCCATGTTTGTAACCCTTTGACCCGTAAAAAAGACCAGCATCGAATTTCTCTCGAGAACAAAGAAAATGATCACCAACTAAAGAAGCTCTAACTTGATTGTTTAACAAATTCTCCTTGTCCGCACCTTAGGAAATGTACAGAGAACGATATGGAGAATATACATACTGATGCGAGCGTGTAAAGGGTTAATATTCACAAACCGTAGCTTAGCGCACCTAGTCCAACAAATTCTATGTTTTAGGTGGCCACTATCAGTTTAGCAGCGCTCTCTCTTCTCTTGAAAAGTGGAACACCTGCTAAAATTATCTTTTTGTCACGGCAAGCGATTGTGACACTATTTCAGCAGGTTCCCTTTTAAATGCTCCACTCTAGCGTGTCATTGCATTTTCCATTATTGTTTTTTGTTGGCTGAAGAATGGAATATTTTGTCTATTCTTTTGTGATGAGTCTCCTTTCCTTGAACTTCTTAGAAATCTCGTATGCCATATCTTCCCATCCTTCAGTGAAAGATTATCGGTATTTTGCAGCGGGAAATTTTGATGATTTACCAACGGATTCTTGTAGGAATAGAGAGGGAGAAGTTGACTGGAAACGTAACGGGGTCGCCAAGCAAAACAGCAAGAAGAAAGAAGTTTTATCAGCTCTTGAAAAACTTTTTCCCTCCAAAGAAAAGGAATCAGTCGAAATACCTTATAAACTACATCTACTAACCAACGCCTCTGACAAGGGAGCAGTTTGTCTCGACGGTTCCCCTCCTGGAATTTACTTACGGAATGGAAGGGGATCAGATAGATCGAAGTGGATAGTGTTTTTGCAGGGGGGTGCATGGTGCCATGATGCTGAAACGTGCTATGAGCGAAGTAGCACAGCGCTTGGTTCTTCTAAATGTTACACCCGTCATTTTACAGATGTACAAGGATTGCTCTCGAGCCAAACGAGAAACAATCCAGATTTTTACAAGTGGACTGTGGTCTTTGTTGCTTACTGTGACGGATCATCGTTCACTGGAAATCATGACAAACCGTTCAAATTCAAAGACAAGTTACTTTATTTCCGAGGTCGACGTATACTCGATGCAGTGCTAGAAGAGTTGCGCCGACGAAATATCGACAAAGCTACCGAGATCATATTGAGTGGCTCGTCAGCTGGTGCAATGTCTGCGATCGTACACGCTGATTATATCCGAAGGTGGCTTCGACGCGAGACGAAGGCCTCCTTCCGTGTTCTCGCCGATGCAGGTCTTTTCATTGACGTGCCGTCACTGAATGGAAGTGAAACAATTCGATCTGTTTTTCGCCAGGCATACAAATTACATAATTCTTCCTCGGGATTAAATGAAGACTGTATACACGCCCAGAAGCGTAAAAAAAGGTGGCGTTGTTTTTTTGCACAGTACTCTCTGCCCTTCGTTAAATCTCGTTTATTTGTAGTCAATTCTTTGTACGATTCCTGGCAATTAGCCTACGCATCTAATGTTCCTTGTATTTTCGATATAGAAAGTTGTACTTCTGACGAATATTCTTACGTTATGAACTTTGGTAAAAAAACGAAGCAGGCTTTACGATCTATCCTTGACTCGAAGCGCAAAGGAGTTTTGGCGGACTCTTGCTTTGTTCATTCTCAATGTAGTCAAAACCATCCTTGGATGAACATTCAAGTACGCAACACTACAATCGCCAAGGCGTTCCTTAGCTGGTACCGGGGGAATCTGGAGAACAGATGTCGTGTTGATGGTTATTATCCTTGTAATCCTACTTGTTGTGATTAAAGTGCTGATGAGGCAATTTTTTTCCTCATTGTTTAACCCTCCAGAGCATTAATAAAATGTATTTTACTTTCAAAAATTCGTAAGTTTGTACTATTTTCCGTGGTCTTTTCATTTCACGTGATGGCGGTTGCTACGACGATGAGAGAGAGAATTAGATAGGTACATTGCATATATACAAAGAAGATTGGATCAAACCTCAAGCCTTGCGCGCATAGTACCTTTAACGGTTTCCAGAACATGAAGAGACTTGGGGTATCAATGTGTCCTTGGACAGGGCTCTATTCTCTCACTGGTTTCTCTTACTGTTTGCTGGTATTCATTTGCGATTCATACTCATGAGTTTTAAAAAACTTTTTTCCATAAGCGGCTGTCGCTCGTGTAATAGTTGGCCGTGCCCGGAAAAGTGCCGTAAGGCGAAGCCCAAACACGAAACCCTGTTGGGTCTGCTTTCATTGAATCCCCAGATACTTAAAGTTGGAGGGTGGCATTGTGAGAGTTGAATTTCTTTCCCATTAACACAGCTTTTTTACCCAACGAAGGCGCCTATCCTGGAGCTTTCGATCGAAATTCCGCTAATGTACTTGAATACAGCTCTATCAATCTTTTCTTCCGTCTTAAATGCGTCTCCCTCATGGTAATCTGACTTCAAAGGTCTGATAAACAAGCTGTTATCCTGGTTTATTCAAAATTACGTCAGTACTTAGCCTTAAAAGCACAAGGCCTTATTCTATATTGATGATAACCCACGAGAACAAGTTATAAAATGTTGAAAGTTTTACGTGAAATAACTGGTGACAGAGAAATTTTCAATTGTTGGTTTGTTATATTCATCCATAATTGGTACAGAAAACCTGCAAAATAATTTAAACCAATCAGATGCGAAACTAAAAGTTACCGAATGCTGGTCACCCGCGTTTTCCCGCGCTGTAGATAGTCAACTTGTTTTCACTTTGAGTTTTCATTGGCTTCTTGTGATATTTTCCTCTGTTCTGATTGGCCCATTTATCACTTTGTTTGAACTGGACGACGCTCTGTCCAATTGTTAGCTCGTAGAATGTAGGAAATTATAATGAACTTAGTTTTTCTTTTTTTTTTCTTTCTTTTCAGGTGTTTTTCGTGGACTATGGTAATTCTGAGTGGACAAGTGCCAACCACGTGAAGCGCATGCTCCCTCACTTTCTTCATCTTCCATTCCAAGCTCTCGAATGTTTCTTAGGGAATGTGGAGCCTATTGATAACGTGGTCGGAAATGGTACAAAATGGTCCCCGGATGCTGTGTAAGTATTTAAAATTTCAAAAGTTAAAATTAATTTTCTATGAAAGCCAAGTTATTCTGGGAAATCTCATTTATCAGAGGTGCAGGTAACTAAAGTGCATGGTTGTTTTACAGGAGATCCTAAATTCTTACTTAAATTGTTTTCAACTGATTTGGTGGTGAAGGGACCACGTTTTGAAATTTTGTTTTAATATTTTACGCCGCGAAAAACTACCCTAAACTCCTGAAGGTTGAAGGTCACGGGAATAGAGGAAATGATCTACAGCTTTAGCGACTCTTGATACTTAAACAAATTCTCCTTGTCAACACCATAGGAAATGTAAAGAGAACTGTATGGAGAATATGCATATTGATGTTAGGGTGTAAAGGGTTAACTTAGACTATGTGAGTGAAGGAGGAACACGATCGAATTATTGAGTTTTGTGACTATTGGTAGTATCTGGCTAGCGTCTCAAAGTAAATTAATTAGAATGACTTAAAAATTTTTTCTTTCGTTTCATCGATGTTATTGATTTCATACCCGTATTGTTATTTTCAGATCAACTTTCAAATCGCTTACAGAGGACAAAGTATTGATAGCACACATCCTTTCCAAGTAAGTTAGTTTTTTCGTTCACTACCTGCGCAAAGCGAATGCGAGAAGAACGAAATACGGCATATCTTGTTGAATCTTCCAATAACTCTCCAAAACTGAGGGAGAGGGGGTGGGCGCAACCCAGGACCTCCCGTAGCTATGTCCCCGGATCTGCGTAGGCGTGTGATTCGTCGATCAATGAAGTAATATTTCTTCATCTTTTATGTGCTTCTTTGTAAAGTACTTAGGGGGAATTGGTGCCAAATCAAGATAGAACACTTAAGCTGACAGTTTGCCTGTTTTTGTCATCTAGTCGCGGGATAGTGTATTACTGTGACAAGAACAAGTTACTCGTCAGTTTCACTTGGGAGTGAAGGGGTTGACTCACTTTTTTTTTTCTCTCAGGGCGTGGAATCAGACTATTTATGTTGACTTGTTCGACACGGAGGGTGAAGAAATTCACATAAACAAAGTGCTGATCGAAAGGGGGTTAGCAAAAGAAACAGACCACACAGTCAGCAATCCCTGGAATATTGAAGCAAGTTTTAAATTCAATCCCCATATGACCTTTGGTCTTCCAGGATGATGTTTCGTTGCGTTTTATTCAACAGTCACGCTAGGATGCGTGAACAAGGAAAAAACCGTGACCAAGGGAAAAAAAATGTCACGCGGCTAGCTAGCTGAGCGTCGTGGTGTAGATGTTCACAGTCACGCTTGGCCTGACGGTTAGGGAGAAAGCATCGTGTCACGCAACTCATTTCTTGTTGACTGCACGGTATATTGTGGGGCAGAGGTGTTAGTAAGAAATGCTACACTGGTAGGCACGAATACTCAGAACAGAATGTCTGCAATTCCTACCGATGAATGTGTGTATACCTCAAAGATAGAAATGGTTTCCGTTTTTCTAAAAGAAATGGTGTTTTTGTTAATGATTTTGATTAAAAGATGTTAACTTTAACCACCATCAGAGAGTGAGACCGCAAGGACGAAGTAAAAATCGTGAAAGAATGAAAACATCAAATTTGCTTAAGGTTAATGTGGAAGATATTTTAAAATCAAAACAGCGTATGAATGGTTTGCAATCAACTGGTTTTGGGACATATATCTTGACAACATTACTGGAGTGAGAACCTTTTTCAAGGAGAGCATTTCAGTTCTCGAAAAGATTAAAAACAACTCTTTTTGTTACTCTTAATTGGATTACTTTCTAGTGTTCTACTACAGAACTTGTGGTCGACTCTGATGATGACTTCCGCACAAGTTGTCGAAGCGTCAATCTCCACAACCGACACCAGTCCTTCTCAGGACTACCCTTACCTGGAAGATCAGACCCCAACGTCCAAATGTCACTCCCCGATCCGAATCATTAACTGTATTTCAAATATTTGTATTGTTTTACGTTTTGAAACCGCGGAAAGACTTTTACTCAGCAGCTTGCATATCCTAAACTTTCCTCTCTTGTGAGTTCATCCTGGTCCATTTATTCCTGATAAGGAACTGCTCATTGTCTATCACAGGGGGGGGGGAGGGAGGAGGGAAGGGGTCGGATGATTTTCGTCCCCGTCGGGATTTAACAGGGACCAAAGAAAATTATCTATCAAGGACGGGGAGGGAGGGGGATTGGAATACTACAGAGCTACACAGCTAAAGAGCCTCATAGGGGGTCAGGTAAGTTTTATTGTCAACCAACATTCCTCAGAACTCCCCTACCCCCCCTGCGACCTTAATTTTTAATCCCAGTGATAAGCGTCTAATTTCTCATCACAGTATCACCTCGGAAAAAAACATTAAGGTCACGAAGATAGAGGAAATAATCGCGAACTCAAGACACTTTCGATTGTAAGACAAATTCTCCTTATAAGTCACATTAAAATGTATTAAGATCGGTATGGAGAACTTGCTATTACTGTTAGCTTTAGGGTGTAAAGGGTCAGCCATTGACTGACAGTAACTTCGGAGACCACAATTTTACAAAACCAAACAGGTAAACGATTTATTTCAACTGCAACGACATGCCCAGAACAAAAAGATTCAGATACTTTTCTGTGCATGAACTTGGGTCATTAAATTGTGTTAAGTAGATGGGAATTTCCAAGCTGAAGGAAATCGGAAAGAGTTGAAGGAGGCCAGAGCAGTGTGTATTGTTATCATTTTTAGCTACCCACTCCTCAGACTTTCTTTCGCCCAATCTTTCCCTGTCACTTTTATACTTAACACTTTAACTCCCACGAGTGACCAAAAAATAATTTCTCCTTACAGTATCAATACAATATCAACCAGAGAAGTGATGAGAATAAAGAAAAATATCAATTTGGGGATAATTAGTTGATCCAATACTAAATTCTCTGAAGTAACATAGTATGAATTGTATGGTTTACAATAAAGAGAATGACAAATTTGATCTGGGAGTTAAAGGGTTAAATCAAACCAACCCTCAAACTCCTCTAATGACCCTTGTCTTGCAAAATATAAAATTATTGCTTCCTTATCCCGTGAGAAGGGAAAATACCTACTCTTTTTAACTTCAATTTGACGAAAACTTGGTGAAAGTATTTACATGGATAATTTTACCCGAATTCAATAAAATTATTCCCGTGAAATTATTTTCCAATGGTAAACCTTAGACAAACATCACTTATTGAATCTGATTTTTCATTTGGCAACTTGAGCTCTACAACTTCAACCGAAAACGTGTAACATAACAAATTTGAGTTATCTGTTGCCTATCGTTGGAAAACTGAGAAATCATGGGTAATATTCTGCGGTATTTTCAAGAATATTTTTAAATTTACCAAACCTCAGTTCATTCAGTCTCACAATCAAATTCTGTAGACGAAATGCAGTCAGCCACGAATCACTACGCGGTGAAAATCACCGCTGAAGAATTATTTGGTCCAGGAGGTGGCACGGTTACCAAGCTTCTTACCAGAGGAAGGACCTGAGACAGTTTGGATTGTTGAAGGGGTACTGACTCATGGAGAGGCTGGTGACATTGGAGCGATTGCCACGAACATGGATGCTTTTGATCCGGGCAGGGACGCGACATTTTCGTTCGCAATTGCGACCGCAGGGACACCAACAGTACCCTTTTTGGCAGATAGAGCATTGCCCTGAGCTGAATTGACAAACTGCGATGAGGCTGTAGCAGCCAAAAGGCCCTGGGTTCCACATCCTGGTGCATTCATAGCTCTCTCTTGCGCGCTCCCTTGCGCCTGTTTTCCGCTGGTTAAAGGCACAAAGGAACCTCCTGACACGTTCTTTTGTACGGTTGACGTAGCAGGTGCCTGGGTTTCACAACCTGACCTTTTCTGAACTTTTCCTTGCGCATGTGCAGGTGTATTTTTGTCTTTAGATGCGGTGTTTACCTTAGCTTTAGTTTGCATTAAACGCAATTGATTATAAGTGAGGGTTCCCAACTGCAAAGAGGTACTGTTCATCAAGTGCCTGTAATGTAAAGAACGAATGAAATGAGTCTCAAAATATTGAAATTGCAGATCAGTGTCATTATCTGAGCTACTACCCGCCGCCTACTCCTCTCCTAACCAAACGTTAACCTTAAATTTTCATTAGTTTCCTGCCTTTATTTGGGTTAGGGGAGGAGTAGGTGCGCAGTGGCTCAGATTATATTGGCATTGACTCGAAAACACATTCCTTTTTGACGCCGTGGGAAGGTGCGTGCCAGTCTTTGGGGAGTTTTCACGTCGACGAAGAAACGGAGGAGGGGTGGGGCAGGTTGTTGAAAATATTTTCGTGAATTGGGAAGAACCCTTAAGAAATGGTTTGCAAGGGACGAAAAACATCAAAGGGGCAGGAATCAGCCAATAGGAACAAGGGTGGATACGATAAAAATTGAAACGGAGTGCATGACCAATTTTAAAAAATACGACAAGAAATTTACAATGGAATAACTGCTTAAAGCGATGGCCCCCTTAAATGTGATTATTTAAAACAGGATAAATAATAATAATATTTGTTTATGAAACCACCGATATACGATGCAAAAAAATTGCCTTGCTCTCTTAACAAAGTAAAGAGCTGAACAGAGGTCCTTGAACTACGAAAGAAAAATTTGCAATTAGTTTACTAATGTTACATCAAATATTCAAGTCCTCTGGGTTAGAAGGATTTTGATTTAGCGCAGCACAATCAGTGGTGTTTCTGGTATACAAACCCTATGGCTTTAATTCTAACGTTGCTAGACACATACTTAATCACTGCAGACTTTCGCTTCAGCGGTCCCGTTGTAAGCTCATGAAAGGCCCAGCTCCACGCGGTCAGCTCACATTTTCCAAACAATCCCTGTAGACGATAGTTATAAGAATATGATAACCAATTTGAGGGGAAAAAATACCAATTATGCTAATACTTTGCCACGTGCTCTGAAAGAATTACAGCTGAGACCCTAATAAGAATGCGAACTTCATCTAATCCCGATTCTGCATCCAGCTGTACTTCTCACCACTTTTCCTTTAGCTTCATCCCTCACCCTTAGTAACTGTGTTCATAGTCTCTCCTCTTATTTGCTGTTGTTTCTCTTCATCATTTTTTTTGTTGAGGGTTCCTTCGCTTGCTTGCTTCTTCAACTGTTTCTTTATCTTAGCACCGTTGAAATAATTATATAGTTTTATAACATCACTCACAGAAAATTGCCTTTATAAAAAAAAACGAAGTTGTCAAGACTGATACCTTGATTTCACTTAACCAACGTTCAAGATAGCAACGATGTTTCTGTTGGACTGTATTTCGACTAAAGTACTGCGGAAAGAACACACAAAATTAGATACGATAATGGCAGTTCCATGTCTAAAGTATAGAGGAGCAGGGAATTAAATCAATATTTGATAAATCCTGTATTAAACTAAACTAAACTAAACTTAACACACCATGTTCCCTTTCTTTTACTTTTTCTGCTTTCGCGTTCTTCCGCCAAAATTGCGCTTTGCATCTAATATTTTCCAAACGAACATACCCCTTTGCCATTCATAACGTGAAACGTTTTCCCCGCCAAAAATTGCATCACCGAGCACCACGCGCGACATTTTTCCGCCACGAAAAGCAGTAATTTCGCGCTCACTTTTCTATACTCAAGAAAATTACTTAAAAACTGCTTAGAACTTTCGCAGTATTGTTCATTTTTCGTGCCAAAAATACTCTCAGATCTCACCTCAGACGTATGACGCATCGCTGCTGTCAGAATGTCATTAGAAGTCTGTTGTTTGAAAGCAGCAATCGCTTTGACACAGGAAACGACCGAATCAGGCAACTACAAAATTTCCGTTGAAGAGATAAAAACAAGTGCAAACATGAGATGAGGGCTACATCATTTAGAAGAGGTGGAAAATGTAACAAAAGGTATCTGTAATAGCACTACTTATTGCCTTTAAATTGACTCCAGCAGCGAAAAAATTTCCAAGCTCAAATTTAATTTGATACAAACAACAATGCTGTAGTTAGGCCAAGTTAGAGTTGCGTGAGTCAAGAAAATTTGGCCAAAACTGTTTTCGACATCGCCTCAATTAGATTTCTTAAGTAAAATAAAAGAAAGTGTCAAATCGCAAATTTATTGTTTCTGGTGAGTCTGAAAGCGAATTTAGGTCAGTGTTTTGTTCGACACTTACATTGTTAAAGCTATATCGCCAGCTGGAGAATGCAACATCGCATAGTGTTTTACTCAACCAATCACAACATGCATCTGCAAACTGGCACGCTTCGTCAGGTTTCTCTAACTTTAGCAAAGTCACTTTAATCTGAAAAAGGAGAGAAGTGAAAACAGCTAAGAGCGTTTTACTGATTAAAGAACTTGTCACTATTTATAGATTCATCTAATCATTTATTATTACCCTCGTTCATTCCTTCATTTATTTATTCGGCCATTTATTCATTCATTTGCTCCTTCCGTTGTTTCTCTCTTTAATCATAACTGCATGCACTAACATGTTCTTAGTTAATCAAGGCTCACTAGGCCAATCAAGACGTATGCATAGATTACAGTGGTAGCTATCCATTCAGTACTTCATTCATTCACATTTCAGTCAACTGGTCAGCAGGTCAGTTATTTAATCAGTCATTCGCTTAGAAGTGCTTCAGTCAGCCAGGTCGTCAGTTTGCGAGTCGGTCCATCCGTCAGTCAGTCAATAGGTCAGTCAGTCAGTGGTTCAACTAGTCGGTTGGTCTGTTGGCCAGACAGTGCGTCAATAAAAAAATTTTCAATTTTCTAACAATTTCGACGCACAAGTCAGCAAAAAGGTCAAGAGATTGGGGAGCAGCAAAAGAGTGTGAATTTGACACAAAAACAACTCATGAAGATATGTAGTTTACAAGGAAACACGAGAGTAACTGATCATGTCTAAAGGATTCATTGCTATTCACTTGCGAACATTATTAGATCAACCACTTTTTAAATAATCTACAGAGACTTTAAAACAAAAGGCACTATTTACAACGATTGCAAGTACCTTTTCACAGATACTGGAAACATTTGAGGAACCAACTGCAGCAAGGGTTTGTTTTACTTCATCGTACATACCATATCTACCAAACACCTCGACACAACATGCAGCGTGAGACCTGCTTCTAAAAAGGGAGAGAGAGAGATGTGGGCTTCTTTTGAAATGTCTATCAGTTTCATAAATACCGTATACAACAAGTATTACTTTGGTTGAAACATATTTTCTTCACACAGAAAAAAAAACACAGAAATTCAAAGACAAGTATATTTCGTATTGCTATGCTATATGTAACCAACCTAAATGTGCCCAGCCTACATGAATAAAAATAAAACTACTATTTTGGAGTATTGGATAGGAGGATGGGGGAAAGAGGGAGCTAGTAGTTGCTACAAGTTTACAATGCAAAATTTCAGTATTAACATTTCCATGGTTAACTTAAATTGCTCTTTTGCTAATTTCTTTGCTTGCTTAATGTATGGTCAGACTTGTACTGTGAATAGCGCTATATACATGTGTAATACTCACGAGAGGTGCTTCTTGAGAAAGTCCATCATTTCTGATTTTATAGAAGGCCACTTTTCACCTCTGAAAACAGGAGTCAATCTTAAATGTACATTCCATCAACTTGCATTCAACGATTGAAACTCAACAAAAACTCTGAAATAATATTTCCATAGTTACGTACATTAGCAATTTCTAAACATTTACACCGGTCTTTTCTCTTTGTTTACAGTAATATTGAAGAAATGTAAAATGGTTTCCGTGTTTACATAGCCTGATGTAAACACGCGGGAGGTTGGGAGAACACGAGATAAGCGTAGGAAACCACGAAGCGACACTTCTTTTATAAAATAACTAATAAAAGAGGAACGAAAACCGTGGTTACATACGCTCATGTAAAATGGTTTTATGGCCAATCAGAGCGCGCGTACTATTTGAATTATTTTATAAAAAACATCTTTAAAGTCAAATTTTATTTGTGTAACATGGTATGTCATGTTTTGTACAATACGTTTTTTATTATTTAATTTAGTTTAGTTCACCCTCTATACCCTTACATTAACCCCTTACCTCCCAAGATCTCTTAAGTAATTCTCCCTACTGTCTGCTAAATGATTCTCATTGTGTTAGTGTGGAGAATTTGGTATCAGATCAATTAGTAATCCCTTAATTGATATTTTTCTTAATTCTCATCACTTGTCTGCATGATATTGTATAGATACAGTAAGGAGAAATTCTGTCTTGGTCACTCACGGGAGTTAAAAGGTTAAGATTCCTATTCTCCTCACTGTTCTCTATACATTTCCTTAGGTGCTGACAAGGAGAATTTGTTTAACGATCAAGAGCTCCTTCAGCTGGTGATCATTTTCTTTATTCTTGCGACCTAACTGTTTGATTCAGGGAGGAAATATTGTAAGGACAAATTAGATGCTGGTCACTCTTGAGGGTCAAATAAACATTTATTAAAAGACCTTATAGATTAATCAGATGCCAAAAAGTTAAGACACAACAATAGTTATTTGAAACAAATAGTCTTACCCACAAGCCTTCCTAACATCTTCAAAATTCTCAAAGCTTGGATCATTTTTGAAAATCAACCCCATCAACTTTCCTTCTAAAGAATCTAATCCACATTTTACAATCTCCTTGGCAAACTGAAAAAAAAAAAATTAAAAAAGAAGGCTAATTGCTACGTAACGCTAGACCAAGCTTGTTTGGCTAAGATAGTTAAATATTGACAGAGTTCTCTTTACGCGTTTTTATGGACTTCAACTTCGTCTCGATTCATAAAAATGCAAAAATGAACGAGGATATTATCCAGCCATCTTGACCAAACAAGCTTGCATGGTCAATGAAGGATTTGTTTATTGACTTGTTTATTTCAAGAGCCAGCTAAAAAGATAGCCAACTGCGTTTGTGGGGCAATAAACCCTCAAGAGTCGTCTATGTTTTCATAATTTTGACTGTCTTGTGCTGCTTTTTGCGACCTCATCGCCGACATTGCCCAAAAGTTACAAACTTTGTAAGTACGCTCCATGCACTTATTATACCAAGAAGGTAAGATGGGCCTATCTTGCACGCTTGGGTAGCTTAAGTAATAACTATCCATATCAGTTTTAGACACAGGTCCATACTAGTCTTGGACACAGGTCTTAGAGTGATTAATGACAATGCCTTTATTGCATGATTTGCTTTCGTGCTATTTTGGAACTAACTTCCCAATCACAGGTCAAGGAAAATATCAATAAGGTCTTCAAAGGAGTAGTTGATGAAAATGTCTTTATTGCATGGACTTTTGTCACGTTATTTTGGAACTTACTTCCCAATCACAGGTCATGGAAAATATCAATAAGGTCTATAAAGGAGACAACAAAACTCACATAATTTTACTTTACTTTCAACCAACTTACATCGTTCTTGATCTTCTTGAGTACTACACACAGTCTGTCCTTCCCATTAGAGCTACCATTCTTGCTCAGCAAGGCATCAACAGTCTTAATGAGTGTCTTGACAAGCGACACAGCTTTCTTGCGTATTGATGAGCCCTCTTGACATTTTTTTAAGAGACGACCTATTACAACAGGTAAATCATCAAGGTTGATGTTACTTTAGTAACGTAAAGGCAGCCAATTAGTAAAGGTTAACTGCATCTTTAGTTCAATACATATATCACCATTCCCTAACATTGGTATGTCAGATGAAGCTAAATAGTAATCTTATTTCCAAATTACCAATGGCTGGAATATCTCTTCAATTAACACTATACAGTCAGAAACCTTAATCCATCACTGTTGAAACATTTTGACACTTAAGGCTTCAAAATAATTGTACAGTTTACATGTATATATCATGAACTTCAATTCAGTACAGCTGAGAACACTGCCTCCCTAACTTCTTTATACCAGCAAATTTTTAAAGAGCCAATTCAAAATAATTAAATGGCTGGAGTTTGCAAATAATTTGAACTAATTTTCATGTTTTACAGACTGTACATCATAATCATCATGTTAATTGTCACTGTCATTATCATCACCATAACCATACTCACTACAGTAATTCAAAATGACAAGTATATCTTTTGAAACAACATTGCTGTACATTTAAAGTATGTGTACCTTCTTTTAACATAAGCAAGGCAATCTCATAATTCCTCTCAATTCCCCCAATGTCGACCTGTTTTTTTATCCAGCTACAAAAAAAATTATGAGCAATATAACTAAAATTGGAGTAAGTTTTCAAACATGTTGTCAGAATGCTCAAAAGTACGGTGACAGTCCCTAGAAACTCGATTCTTGAGACTCAATTCTCAAAAACTTTGAAGATTGAGATTCGAATTGTGTTTTGAGATGCTCAAAATGAGTTGAAAGCATCTCAAAACGAGGAAGCAAATAATCTTTCACACAGTTAATTTTTCACATGAGAGGAAATTCCTTGTAGGTCACAATTTTTCAAGTACATGCCATTTCATGTGGAATTATTAGTGTTAGAAAACTCAGGTATGTAGTTTCCCAGGATGAGGAAGAAGTTATCACCTCTTCCTGGATCTTCTCTTTCTATATCAATCAACAAACACCACTTGGCAAACTCCCTTAATAGCGGAGCTCGCAGAGCGTAGCCCCATAATTATACAAAATAGTAATAACCCATCAAGCCGAAAAAATTTGGATGTACGACCGTTCAACCGTTCGACCGTTCGACCGTATGACCGTATGACCGTACGACCGTACAACCGCACAAGGTGCTACTTTTAACATGCGTGGTCAACTGTACCGCAGGCACGCCAATGCCACCGCTTTGTCCAGTAGTCCAGTGGTCAGTGCACTGGGCTCTGAGTCGGATGACCCGGGTTCTGGTCCTGGCCGGGGCAAGGCGTTGTGCCCTTGAGACGTGCGTGGAAAAAAAATGTGAGCTCCGCTTTTAGGCTTGGCTAAATCTATATATTATCATTCTTGTTGTGGCTTGGCTTGCTTTAGGCCCTGATAGGGCTAAAAGTATTTTTACCACAATTGACAGTAATGTCACAATCTGATCGGCCAATTTGCCGCCATCAATAAGAGTAAACACAACGCTGCTTGCATCAACCCAGCATGGTCTGTAGTCTTGTCAACAACAACATTCATCATCACAGTGGTCAAAATTTACTCCAGACTCACTTGCCTGCACCCCATGAGTATGCAACATTTTGACCACTGTGATGACAAATATCATCATCTCTAAGAGTAAAGACCACACTAACTCATTGTCAGTTTGTTAATCATTCTACACAATTCAAACTTCCAGAACAGCTCCAGACCAATTGCACTGAGCTTACCAAGTGAACATGTTCTTGCACAGGTCTAGGTTAAGGGTGTTCAGTTAAAATGTTTTGAAATGTATTGTTAAAGCTAACTCCATCTTTACATGTCCTTGCAAACCTGTATACTGACCTCTTGTAGACATCATATGGAATACACTGACTTCCAAGTGTTTTGATAACATTTGCTTGCATAAAATTCAGTATTTGACCATTGATTTTGTTGGTGAGAACTGGTGAGAGCACCACTGAGACACAAGCCCACAACAAGTCCTGTTGATTGAAAGAATAATTTTAGAGAGTCTAGATCTGCAAAATGAATTGATTGTTGGTCTGATGCAAACCACAATGGAGGCCTTACATGTACGTGCCTCAGTTGATATGATCATTGAGTGCTATAATAGCTGATATCTCCAT